TATATATATATATCCACTTTAATGCACTTACAAAAACAACAAAAGCAGTCAAATGTCAAAAGTTTCAGTTGCATCTTCAGTTGTATTTTCTATAATAATATTTGGCAATATTACTGTTTTTACTATATTTTTGATCAAATTATATACATTTATATATGTTTTGGATAAAATTTTATATTGATCCAAATTGTATATAAATGCATATATTTATATATATTTTATATATTACAAAAATATGTACATTTACACACACTACTGGTCAAAATTTTGAATAATTTGGAGTAATTGGAATAATGAAGATTTTTAAATCTTTTTTGTTGATTTTCTTTTTGTTTGTTTGATTAGGTTCACTAAGTCTGCATTTATTTGATCAGAAATATATTAAAAACAGTAATATTGTGAGTTATTATTATTATTATTATAAAAAAATTAAATGAGGAACCTCACATTTATAATTAATGTAAACATTAGGATATATTTGCTACTATTATAATATTTTGTAGATTTATGTGTATATGGTGATATGATAATGAAGGGATTTGATTTGTTGATTTGCAAAACAATCCTAATATTACCTAAATTGATGCTGAGTTCAAAAATATCAATAACAACTTGAATGATGAATGAAGGTTTATATACATAAAACGGAGAATACAAGACTTCTTCACTGCACAAATTGTTTTAAAATGCAACAAAATGCATCATATTTTGTGAGAAAGTGTGACATGCTCCACCAAAACAGACACTATTTTTGCATTCAGCACAGCAAATTTAGAAACGTATTGGATTTCATTCAGCAAACATGAAGCAGGGCGGCGCTAGACATATGTTAGTTTATGAATGTTGATTTGTTGTTTTCAGCTCACCCAGAGAACACCGCAGTGCTCAGTGAACTCTGTGCCACTCTGTCCCGTCTGGCCGTGAGAAACGAGTTCTGTCAGGACATCGTAGACCTCGGGGGCCTGACGTTCATGATCACACTCCTGGCTGACAGTCTGGATCGTCAGGTGAGCTCTGGATCAGTGAGAGTTTCAGCATCGTTTCCTATGAACACAAACAAGTCTCTTGTTGTCTTGTCTCTTGGCGTCTGTCTTCCAGGAGCTTGTGAAGCAGGTGCTCAGCGCACTGAAGGCCATCGCAGGAAACGATGATGTCAAAGATTCCATTGTGAATGGCGGCGGGGCGGAGCTTATCGTCATGGCGATGAACCGTCACATGGCCAATGCACAGGTGTGTCCTCAGAAGTGCTATAAAATGCCAATTATTATTATCTAATTACTGTCCAGAAGTTGTAAACTGCTTTTAAACTAAGTTAAAGTGTATTTGTTAATAATAATGCATTAATTGTTTCATAGTAAATTACTCATAAATGGGTTTTCATACACTCAACACATTCCTGCTATTTCCAGAAACATTCGGTAATATTAATACACAATTCAGTGTTTGAAATACCAGCCAAGAATGTTGAATTATATAATTATATATTTTATAATAAATCTTTTTATAATTCTTTTTTTATTTAATAACTCTTTTTATTGTTTTTTTTAAATTATTATAAACATTTGTATAATTTTATATAAAGATTTATAATTCTATATTCTTATAATTATATAATTAATATCACTACTAGGTTGCCTTGATCTGGAAGTTGAAACAAGGCTAGTTTCCACAAAGAAAATGCATGAAACAGGGTTTGTGGTAATTAGTTATTAATTATATAATCAATAGATTTACATTTCCAGTTGTGATTTACACTAGTGTTCAAAAATTTGATGTAGGAAATTTACAAAATATCTTCATGGAACATGATCTTTACTTAATATCCTAATGATTTTTGGCATAAAAAAAAAATCAATAATTCTGACCCATACAATGTATTGTTGGCTATTGCTACAAATATACCCCAGCGACTTAAGACTGCTTCTGTGCTCCAGGGTCATATATGTCTTTACTGTCACTTTTGATCAATTTAATGCATCCTTAATAAATAAATGTGTTAATTTCTTGATTTAGAGAAATATGTTTAATCCATTATTTTCATGAAATAACTTGGCCTAATTAATGATCCAATGATTTGTTTCATGTTGCACGAAAGAAGTTCCTCTGTGTGACTGTGCTGTGTAGCTAAATCACTGAGTCCGTTCTCAGACTCTGAGTCTCCTCATAAACACAGCTGGTTTCTCATCGTCTTTGCCTCTGTGTTTGCGCTGTGGGTTCAGGTGTGTGAGCAGGGATGTGCAGCGCTCTGTGTTCTCGCTCTACGCAAACCCAACAACTGTAAAGTCATCATGGAGTGTGGCGGAGCGCTGGCGGCCCTGCAGGCCATGAAGACTCACCCGGCTGAAGTCAGTGTGCAGGTAAAGCCGTCTGTGCGCTGTCTCGCATGCATCAGCAGATGCGTTTACTCAAAGCGACTTACATTGCATTTAAGGTTCATGCACAAACCCATAGAGCTACAGGAGCAGGAATTTCTCTGACATGCATAGTAACAGGAAAGTAAAAGTTTTCAGCATTTCACTTACAGAATATCTTTATACCTGGTAAAACTAGGAGAAAATGCATTTCATTTTGCTCTTAAGGCCTGTTCACATAAACGTTAACTATACTGGTCCTCAGTGTGAAACAGGCCTTTAATTATTCATTTTCTTCAGAAAATATGAAAATCTAGGTTTTATTTCTTACTTTTTCATTTAAAAGTACTTTCTTTGTGTAAATATGCTGTTTTTTATTTATTTTTATTTAATTTATTTTGATTCTTGGTGAATACTAGGTAATGGTTATTATAGTTAAATTAAATAAAATATAAAAAAACAGCATAAAAAACATTTGTTACTTGAAATTAATTAAACTTTAACATAATAAATAAATAAAAACTTAATTTATTTCAGCAAGTTGCCAAGGCAACAATTTTTGTTTTCTAAAAATACTAAAAATCTAAAACTAATAAATAAAAAATATATAGACATGTTAAGAAAAAAAAGTAATAAAAATGACAAAAACACACAGAAAAAAGAAAATCTAAAATAAAACCTAATTCAAATTTTATATTTTATTTTAAATTTTAAAAACTTTTATAATTATATTTTTTAAAACAAAACTAAACCAATATTTCAATGATACTAAAATAACACTAGTTCATATATAGTTATTCCGCCCCGTATCTAGGGAGGGTTGGGTTGTGGTGGTGGATTCAGAAGAATAAAAAAATGTATAATTTTGGTTGGGGAGCAAACAAGCACACAGATTACATAAGCAAAACTCTTACGTGTATTAAAGATGGTAAGTGAAACATGAAGAGCGTGTCTTCGGGGTGACCAATAACAAACAAAAGAAATCTAGAAATGAAAAAAAAATATATATAGAAATTAAATAATCTAATCAAATTATAAAATAAAAATACGAAAAACAAAGAGATTGACACAAAAAAAGGCAGGACAACCCTACGCTCTGTTTTTTCCAGTGTATGCTTTAACATGAACAAAGAAGAGCACTAAGTTTGAGCACAGCACATCTTCATGCAACCTGTGAGAGAACAAACAGAGGAAAAGCAAGAGAGAAAGAAACAGAGCAACACAATGCAGCGAAAGAAAGAAAAAAAGAACGGTCGTAACAATAGTGATTTGAATAAAACATTTTTTTCTGCCAAAAATTCCCTTTGCTACAGATTTTGATAGTCTATTATTATTATTGTATTTTTTTATTTTTAAAATATCTTTACTTTTTGCCCTTTTGGGCTTTTTTTTGTTTTCTTTGTACTTCTGTTCCCTTCGTTTTCTGAAAAATAAATAAATGAATAAAACAAGCTGCTGAGCAATTGTTCTTCAGATGATGTCTTCCTGTTGTTCCTGGAAAGCAAACCAGCCTCTGTTTGTATTGTTTAAAGGGCATCATCTCGCCGGTTAAATGTGCTTTCAGTGTGCTTGTTTCTTACATTCCAAAGTGTTTTATTACACCGAACACGCTTTCATGCACAAGGTGAGCCAGAATATGAGTCACATGTTTTCTCAATCATATGTGTTGCAATATTAGTTGAAGCTCTGAATAAACCCGCTCTGTACTGGAACTGATAGTGTTTGTGATTAAATCGCACTGATGTGTCTATATTGTTACATATTCCTTTACAAAAATGCACCAAAAATGGTAAAGTTATACTAAAATACCATCATTATTAGTTATAGTTGCACTTGCAACTGTAAAATCATAATAAATGGATATATGTGACCCTGGAGCACAAAACCAGTCATAAGGGTCAATTTTTCAAAATTGAGATTTATGCATCATCTGAAAGCTGAATAAATAAGCTTTCCATTGATGTATGGTTTGTTAGGATAGGACAATATTTGGCCGAGATACAACTATTTGATTTTCCCATACCATTAGATATTTTGATTTATGCACATTTAAGTATTTTGGTAGAAATTATCATTGCTTTAATAACTTTTTATAAGTTTTGCAAAGGTAATGTGGTACAGTAGTGGTATTAGATATTAATACACAGAAATATGCCATGGTACTGATTATTAAAACTAAAACCATAAATTATTTTTGTTAACTTTAAATAAAATAGACATTAACTGAACTAAAGTAAAATATATTTAAAAAACTTATTTTATATTGATTAAAGTTTTTAGTTTAGTTTAAAATGTTATAGTTTATTATTTTATGTATTTTCATTTAGTTTAAGTTGATGTAATTAACTAAATATATATATTATATATATATTGACTTTTAATAAGCTGAACAAGGGTAAGAGGAATAGCTTTAATAACATTCCTTAAATAGGACAGGAAAACTGTGGGTTCGCATAAACTGTTCATAAGTTAAAAGTTTCCCATAATTATCAAACATATTCATAAGGTGATTAATACCTCTGTTAACCCTCTGGTGTTGTTCGATCATTTTAGACCGGAAAAAAAATGCAAAGAAATTTTACAAATCGCTACTTCATCGGAATGGTACGGAACTCGATGACTTTTACTATGTGACCACAAAAAATAAATTATAATAATAATTGTGGACTTGATTAAAAAAAGCTAAATGGTTGTAAAAAAAAGTCACACTTGTGTTGTTCACCATTGGAAATTAATGGGAAATACACAAAAATACAGAGAATTATTTGTGTGTACAATCTACAAATCATTCACGATGCAGAAAAAAGTTCACAGCAATGAAGGGGTGACACTCTAAAATATAAAGAGTACAAAACAGACCCCCCCCACAGACACACATGAACTAGTGTGACTGAAACAAAGCATGTTTTTGCAAATACGTGAAATAAAATCAATAATTCCAGCCACAATGCAATAAAACACAGACACCAAGGAAGGGGTGACACTCTAAAACTTCAAGCGTACAAAACAGACACACACTCACACACACACACACACTCACACTCACACACACACAC